TTTATAGTCGAAAGTAAAAATATTGTTTTTTCTTCAAAATGTTCGGTCTTTTTTTGTTTATAGCGTGAAAAATAAAAAGAGCACAGGTGATCAAATACCCCCCAAAAAAAATCTCTATTTGTGTGAAAAAAAGGATTTAAATTTTCATTTGGGTACAGCATTGTATGACTGCACATTTACCAGTTGAAATAGTGCAGCGCCGAATAGCAAAAAGAGGCCTGGTCAGGAAGGGGGGTAAATCTTCAGGAGGTCAAGTGGTTAATGCAAAGGCCGATCTAAACAATGCATTCAATATAAAGTGAGTACACGTCAACAGATTTGTCAGAAAATCTTTACTTTCAGAATCAACATTTTCTATTGGACTCTGTACTACAAAATACTCCCACAGATGCGGGCCATTGATTGCAAACAAGATTTTTTAATTTGCACACACAAAAAAAGTATTTTTTTTAACAAATTAATTCAAGACCATGTTGCAAATTGAACACACCCCAATGAAAGACTTAGGAGCAAAGCTAAATTTTAAACAACAAAATCCTAATTAACAAAAATTCAACTACAGGTGAGTCTAATTTTTCATTAAACAGGTTTCCAGGAGACAGCTGATTATAAAAGGGTATTGCCTAATAAAGAAAACCCCTTCCCATTTCATGCTGTCAGCAATGGCACCACATGGAAGAGAAATGTCACAAAGCCTGAGAAAGAAAATAATTTTTTTACCCAAGAAAGGTGAAGGCTACAAGAAGATCAGCAAAGCTTTACTTATTAGTCAGAATACTGTAGCAAAAGTGATACATAAATGTAACAAAGATGAAACTGTAACCATCTCACAGAGATGTCTAGGCTGTTCAGGCCGTCCATGGAAGTTAACAACTCGACAGGAGCCTCTTTTGATGAGAAGGGTTGAAGAAAATCGCCATGCAAGTTCACTTCAGATAGCTAAAGAAGTAGAAAGCCAAACAGGGGTGATTGTTTCCCTTGACACAATGCGGCATAAGCTGCAGAGGAATGACATGCGTGGGTGTCGGCCACAAAGAAAGCTTCTCCCAAAGCCTATGCACAAAAAAAGCCCACCTAGAATTTGCCAGGGCCTACGTTGAAAAAGAAGACTACTGGGATTCTGTTCTCTGGAGTGATGAGATCAAGATACATTTTTTTGGAACTGATGGCTTCAACACTGTATGGTGTCGCAAAGGTGAGGAGTACAAAGAAAAATGCATGATGCCTACATTGAAACATTATGATGACAATGTCCTTCTGTGTGGCTGCATGAGTGCTGCTGGTGTCGGGGAGCTGCATTTCATTGATGGTATCATGAATTCACAAATGTACTGCTCTATATTGAATGAGAAGATGCTACTATCACTCTGTGCACTTCTCCAACATGCCAATATTCCAAAACACACATCTAAGGCCACTGTTGCATTTTTGAAGAACAGGGTGAAAATGATTCAGTGGCCAAGTATGTTTCCAGATCTAAACCCAATCGAACACCTATGGGGAATTCTGAAGAGACAAGTTGAGCATCACTCTCTATCCAGCATCCAGGCTCTAACAGAGGTCGTTCTTAAAGAATGGAAAAAGATAGATGTTGCAATATGTCGGCAACTTGTTCATTTCATGCCTGGAAGACTTGGTGCTGTTCTTACAAATCATGGAGGTCATACACAATACTAGATGGAGTAGTTTTTGTTGTGGAGTGTATTCATTTTTGCATCAACTAATTTGAGCAAAACTCAGCTTCTATTATTAACCTTACTTTCAAGTAATGAGCTAAGCAAATGTTCTTTAAAACTCCGTTTTGTCAAAATTTTGGAAATTGTTCTTGTGTTCATTGAGATATTGATTAAAATCTTACTTTTCAAAAGGGGTGTACTCATTTTATGCTGAGCACTGTATATCCCATTAGACAGGCTGTTGCATGTTTTTGGTAAATCTAAAGGGTTATTGTACAATTATGATAGTAATCTCGTTAGCCAGCGTAAAAGTCAGACTGTTTATATGTGCACACTCCTGTTTTCTAAAGCCCAACTTCAGGAAACTGGGCTGCGTCCACACTGCAAGGGTTAATTGCTTGTTTAAGTTTATTCTCTACGGGAGAATTAAAACAGAATAAAAGTGCTTTTTACTTTTCCGCAATCATCCACTTCTGTGGTAGGTGGAACTCTTCCACACTTCGGCAGTGGACTGTCCCTCGACATCATCATGTCCAGTAAATGGCTGTAGACCGTACACTGGTAATGTCAGGAACTTAGACCACTGGAGCGTAGGAGAGAAGATGCTTTGGGGAACAGTCCAGCAGCGGAAAGGATTGGTTTAGTAAATCTACTTTAACAAGTTCCCTGGACCTAAATGAGCAATTAACCCTTGCAATCCGGACACACGCTCACTGCAAGGAATAATTTTCAAGTTTCCCAGAATTGAGCTTTAACATTGGGAGGGGGAGTAGTTTACAAAAAAAAACTGCCAGCCCCTAGTAACCTTTGTCTCAGTGATGGATATAGAGAGCTGTATATTGCTCCCCTTCTGTGAGAATTCCTACTGAGTTGTATTTTCGCTCAGGCTGATTGAACAGCTCTTGTGCTTGCAGATCTGCATTTTTGGGGTATTTATTTCTCACTGAGAATTTTGACAGCCTTTTGTAAGCTTTAATGTTAAGAATGAAGCATACGTGTGCTCTGCTTAAGCACTTTTTCCACTGCAGACATCTGTCCCAATGGACTTCATACATCCTGTTGTAGTTCTCTGAACCAGTGATGCTTCCCATCTTGAAATCTAATATATATTATATTACGAAATTAAAAAGGTCTCAGTGTTCACTATCACAGAATGCATGGAACTTTTCCACCTTACAATTAATCGAGATAAATGCATGCACTATGTATTTTGGCTAAGACTTGTTTAGAGAGACTGAACACGGGAGAATAAGGCAGATCTGAACATATTAGATCTTGCTTTTATAATATTGTTAGATAATAGTTCTTCTGGATCTAGCAGGATTTATATAACCAGATACATTTAAATGAACTATGGAAATGCCCTCCTTTTGGCATAGATAATTTTCCATTTTTCTCCCAATTAGAAATGCTTGACTAATCAATTGAGTAAATATATTACTGGTGGTATACAGTATCTCAAAGAAGTGAGTACACCCCTCACATTTTTGTAAATATTTTATTCATGTGACAACACTGAAGAAATGACACTTTGCTACAATGGAAAGTAGTGAGTGTACAGCTTGTATAACAGTGTAAATTTGCTGTCCCCTCAAAATAACTCAACACACATCCATTATTGTCTAAACCGCAGGCAACAAAAGTGAGTACATCTCTATGTGAAAATGTCCAAATTGGGCCCAAAGTGGCAATATTTTGTTTGGCCACCATTATTTTCCAGCACTGCCTTAAACCTCTTGGGCATGGAGTTCACCAGAGCTTCACAGGTTGCCACTGGAGTCCTCTTCCACTTCTCCATGACGACATCATGGAGCTGGTGGATGTTAGAGACCTTGCGCTCCTCCACCTTCTGTTTGAGGATGCCCCACAGATGCTCAATAGGGTTTAGGTCTGGAGATAAGCTTGGCCAGTCCATCACGTTTACCCTCAGCTTCTTTAGCAAGGCAGTGGTCGTCTTGGAGGTGTGTTTGGGGTTGTTATCATGTTGGAATACTGTTCTGCAGCCCAGTCTCCACATGGAGGGGATCATGCTCTGCTTCAGTGTGTCACAGTACATGTTGGCATTAATGGTTCCCTCAGTGAACTGTAGCTCCCCAGTGCAGGCAGCACTCATGCAACCCCAGACCATGACACTCCCACCACCATGCTGTTGATACAAGGCAGGACCCTTCCATGTTTTTATGTTGTTTATGCCAAATTCTGACCCTACCATCTGAATGGCACAGCTGAACCTGTCTGCCTATTCTCCTCTGACATCAACAAGGCATTTTCCTCAACACAATTGCCGCTTACTGGATATTTTCTGTTTTTCAGACCATTCTCTGTAAACTCTAGAGATGACTGAGTATTTAAAAAAACTGCTGATCTACTGAGATTTTCACGCACAGACCAGCCCATTCAAAGTCACCTAAATCCCCTTTCTTTCCCATTCTGATGCTTGGTTTGAACTTCAAGTTGTCTTCACCACGTCTATATGCCTAAATGGATTGAGATGTGATTGGCTGATTAGCAATTTGTGTTACCAAGCAATTGAACAGGTGTACCTAAATAAGTAGCCGGTGAGATTATATTCGTGCAGAATTCAGAGTTATTGCCAGATTTAGGATGTTGTACAAGAACAGATCATGAGGCATATAATATTCTTTTTTTTTTTTTTTTTTTTGTACACCAATTACCAAAATTGTAGATTTTGTATGCAACCTCTTTCTGGACTAAAGTAAAGAGCAGTATAGCCATATTTTTATAAAGCTCTATTAAATCTAAAACCCAAAAATTAATATAATGCAGCTTACCAATCATTAGATGTAGTGGCTGCATTAGTTTTCTTTTTTTAGGGTTTTTCCCTCTGTTTTTAACTGCCGATCTGTCCAGTAACGCACTTCTGTGTTAAACTATACCCCCTCTCTGGATAAAGTACAGGGGCACCTTTGTACAGCAGAGATTGTCTGGTGTCGACATAACAGCTAAAAATTAGTCATATGCATACCAGAGGAATGATCGAGCAGAGAGAAATCAGAGTAGTTACTTTGGATTGAGGTAAGTACACACTATAGAAGGATATGTTGTATTCATTTTTCATGTTAGAGGTTTACAACCATTTTAAATATGTCTGATTTCTAAATAATGAAGCAAAGTGATGTGAGTTTTTTTCCAACAGCAATAACCAGATTCTATGTTTGTAATACTGGGTCAAATGCACAGTAAACACAATGGCAGTATGCGTTTATAATGCATTCTTCAGCACAACCACTAAAGAAAAACCTTTAAATATAATAGTGCTATGTGAACTATACTGTAATATGTGTCTCTTTTTTTATGATGCAGGCAGAGCAGGTTGCAATAACTGCTGAATTTGAAAGCTACAAAGTTCGTGTTCATAATGTGCTAAAGCAACAGAAAAATAAGTCTGCACCTCAAGCAGAACATGAGGTGTTCAAGCAGGAAAGGTAACTGAAATGTATATTTTTTGCAATTTTATTTATTTTCTAAAGCCGTCACTGTCAACCAGGTTTCCTCCAGACAGAGATTACTAGGGGTTCCTTGAGCTGTGACTGATTGACCTCCCATTTGATGGTGTTTGCATAGTTCCAGGGTCAACACCACTTGACACAGCCAGCAGCATGAACCCAATTAACTTTTTAGCTGCCTGTAAGGGTGGCATTCTGACCACCAATTTAAGAGGATGTTTTTCCCACGAACTACCAATATGAGGGGATTTTCCCATGACAACCAATTAAATGGTTTTTTAAAGGTTCCTGAAGACCTGAAAATTTATTTCAAGCGTTCTCTAGGGTAAACAGGTTGAGAAACAAGGATGGGACAAAACTACCAAAGTGGGAAAATAAAATAACAAAAAAAAAGTAAGTTGTAAGTTGTTGTTCATGTTTTTGTATTGGCTTTAGGGAGCACCTTCAAACAATGTTGGATCAAGTAAAAAATAAACTGCAGGACGCTCAGCACAGTCTTCAGATGAACACAGCGGAGTTGCAGGCTTTACAGTCTGAACATGACATGTTACTGGAGAGGCATAATAAAATGCTGCAAGAGACGGTGACCAAAGAAGCTGAACTTAGAGAAAAGTGAGTCAATTTATGGTCGCTTATTAGTAAGAAATGTGTACATTAGACTAAATCTGGCCAATTGGTGGGGCTAGTTATAGCTCAGAGAGTGAGTATGAATTCTTTACCATTCTGTGTAGAAAAATAAAAGATAAAGAGTATACCACATGCACTTCTGTGAGGAGGTCATAGTGCACCTTCTAGTCATTCAGGGACTATCAGATCTCTCCTCACCTATTGATCTTTGTTGTGATAACTGCCTGCTCATTGTCAGCCTAGTATAAATACATTGCTCAAACAAATTAAAGGAACACTTTTTATTCAGAGTATAGCATCAAGTCAGTTAAACTCCTGGGATATTGATCTGGCCAGTTAAGTAGCAGAGGGGGTTGTTAATCAGTTTCAGCTGCTTTGCTGTTAATGAAATTAACAGGTGCACTAGATAGGCAACAATGAGACGACCCCAAAAACAGGAATGGTTTTACAGGTGAAGGCCACTGACATTTATTTCCCTACTCCTCTTTTCTGACTGTTTTTCACTAGTTTTGCATTTGGCTAGGGTCAGTTTCCCTACTGGTAGCATGAGGCAATACCTGTACCCTGCACAGGCAGTCCAACTCCTCCAGGATGGCACATCAATACGTGCCATTGCCAGAAGGTTTGCTGTGTCTCCCAGCTAAACCTCAAGAGCATGGAGGACATTCCAGGAGACAGACAGTTACTCTAGGAGAGCTGGACAGGGCCTTAGAAGGTCCTTAACCATCAGCAGGACCAGTATCTGTTCCTTTGTGCAAGGAGGAACAGGTTGAACCAGAGCTCTACAAAATTACTTCCAGCAGGCCACTGGTGTGAATGTCTCTGACCAAACAATCAGAAACAGACTATATGAGGGTGGCCTGAATGCCCAACATCCTGTAGTGTGCCCTGTGTTCACTGCCCTGCACTATAGAGCTTGACTGGCTTTTGCAATTGAACAACAGAATTAGCAGGTCTGCCACTGGTGCCCTGTGCTTTTCACAGATGAGAGCAGGTTCACCCTGAGCACATGTGACAGACATGAAAGGGTCTGCAGAAGCCATGGAGAATGTTATGCTGCCTGTAACATCGTTCAGCATGACTGTTTTGGTGGTGGTCTGGGGAGGCATATCCATGGAGGGACACACAGAGCTCTACAGGCTAGACAAAGGCACTCGGACTGCCATTAGGTATCGGGATGAAATCCTTGGACCCATTGTTAGATCCTACGCTGGTGCAGTGGGTCCTGGCTTCCTCCTGGTGCACGACAATGCCCGGCCTCGTGGCGAGAGCATGCAGGCAGTTCCTGGAGGAAGAAGGAATTTATACCATTAAATAGCCCCCACTTGTGCCTGACCTAAGTCCAATAGAACACCTCTGGGATATCATGTTTTGGTCCATCCGACGTCACCAGGTGCACCTCAGACTGTCCAGGAACTCAGTGATGCCCTAGTACAACTCTGGGAGTAAATACTCCAGGACACCATCCGTCGTCTCATTAGAAGCATACCCCAATGTTGTCAGGCTTGCATACAAGCACATAGGGGCCATACAAACTACTGAGTACCATTTTGGGTTGCTGCAATTAAATTTCAGCAAAATGGACTAGCCTGCTGCTTAATTTTTTCACTTTGATTTTCAGGGTGTCTTTGAATTCAGTCCTTTGTACATTGCTAATTTTCCTTTCCATCAAACAATAGGGCATCCTTGCATTCCTAACACATTACCCAGTGCATGTCCGTATAGATATCCAGCATGATATTTTTCCCCACTGAGATCTGATGTGTTTTCAAACTGTTCCTTCTTTTTTTGCAAGACCTTTTTTATTGCTCCCATTCCAGAATTGTTAATTTTACTTTATTCTTATTTTGCTGACCTTAACGGTGCTTTCCAACTCTTTCTGTAGGGTACTAGGTTTCATTAAAACACCCCTTCAAAAAATAAAACCAATCTTTTGCAAACTAAAAAGAAATAAAGTAAGGAGGAATCCTACCTTTGGAGCTGCCAATAGAACTAGAGGTGAGGGAGAATCTTCCATGCACATTTTCAGTGACAACTGTAAACATTTTTTGTTTCAGCTTATGTTCCATTCTGATGAAAGCTGCCATTAGGGAAGAAAGTGATGGGAAATCTTCCCAGTAGAGAAACAGGCAGTAATTTTAATAACAGAATCTTTAAACCGTATCTTTAAACTTCACCATATACCAACATTTCATCATTGGAGGAATGTAGTTTATATGTCTTCATAGAAAAATAAGTAGATCGTGAGCGACAAGCAAATGCAGCAGCTTGCACAAAACGGATAACCCGCTATATCCTCAAAGTGATAAAGAAAAGAAAGAAAGTTCAGTGCTCATAAAGAAATATGATGATAATCAATAACTCAATGCTATAGCATCATAAAATAGATGAATAAATACATGAATTGAATAGCTGGTGACTGTAAGTGAATATGTACAACAAGTATTATAGGTGAAGCGCCCTGAAACGGTGCTGTAGTGAGCAAATAAATAATTTATAAACAGTGCCATGCTGAAATGACAGCGCAAAAAAGTGACAAATAGCCTGTATGGTGACAGTAGGTGAACAATCCAGTAAATATAATCAATGAAAATTGACAAATTATTCCAAATATAAAGTCCAAAAGAAGTGATCGTGATGTCAAGTGAATCCGTGACAAATCCTTCTTTATAATGCACTCACCAGAAGCGCATATTCAATGCGCATTGAAATCAAAGGACTGTAGTCCACAGGTCAGCCTCATCCACCTCCATACACAGTATAAGGGAAAAACACAGCAGGCATATACCAGAGTAGAAGATACTTCCAGCAAACCGTTCCACCATCAGCAAACAGAAAAGGGGCTCCACCTTGAAGGGATTAGTTCAACAAACGAGCCTAGAAAGGAAAGCGCTTATGGTGCAGTATTTTATTGAAATATTCAAAAGCATCCATGTGGAGCAATAAAATGACGTGTATTCCACGTACAAAGATGGCCACCGGACCTGCATGACCTATATTACTTGTGCATAGTCACTTACAGTCAGCAGCTATTCAATTCATGTATTTATTCATCTATTTTATGATGCTATAACATTGGGTTATTGATTATCATCATATTTCTTTATGCGCGCTGCACTTTCTTTCTTTTCTTTATATGTCTTCATAGGCTCTGCTTTAAAGCTGGTCATAGATTGATTGAAATTCCATCTATGGCTGTTCCAGCCAGAAGGTGATCTAATGATTGACTTCTGTCGAACGAGAATGTTGAAAACTTAATTTACTCAGTGCCTGCCGCACTGATCAGTATATTTTGATAACTGAGAAGTCCCCACTGTCAGATTACAATGGCACAGCAGGGAGGATTCCTCTATCTACCTCAGTGGTGTGGATGTAGGATCCATGTATGGCCAGCATCAGTGTATCCAGTCGACATAGAAAAAGATGACCAACTAGATTGTAAATCATTTTATTTTTTCTGTTTTTACTAATATTCAACTTCCATTGATTCATAAAAGTGTCCCGTGGTTGGGTCCCTCTGTGGGGCTCCAGCAGTGACTTTCCAGATAAGTTTCTTGACTGCCATTAGGAAGTGGGAGGATCTCATCACTGGGATGGTTTTAAGTACATAAGTAACTATGGAAAAGACACAGATGAAGACTCGTCAAGGGATCTCTTGAAGTTTTGACAATTGTGGATCCTTTAAAAAGAACTTAAGATTAATCATACTTGGTTTTATTCTGCAGGTTGTGTACAGTGCAGTCAGAAAACATGGTGCTGAAGACTGAGCACGCTCAGGTAGTGAGTCAGCTTAGTGCTCAAAATGAAGCACAACGCAACAATTTTAGGGACCAAGTGAGGCGTTTACAAGATGATCATAGGAAGACTGTAGAGACTCTGCAGCAACAGCTGTCCAAAGTAGAAGCCCAGCTCTTCCAAGTTAAGAGTGAAGTTACTGTGACAAGTAAGTGTGAAACTTTTACCAGTTACTAATACTTTGCTCTTTAGAACATTTTGTATGAAATATTCTTTTAATCATTTTTGAACACCATATCAATAAATGCAAATACAGACAAAGCATGCATTAGATTAGTAGGTGTGGTGTCCTGTAACCTTCTCTTAGGATTCATATTAAAGTATGTGTAAAACCTCATTCTTAAAGCAACCCTGTTCAGTTTAAAGAATAAATTAAATGCAAAAACATTTGTGTATACATGTAAAAAAAACAAAAAAAAAACACCTTTTCCCTTTTTTTTAAATATAAGTGATCACATACCCTCTGTTCTCAGCTGCATAAGTAGCTCAGAGGACTGGAGGAGAAACAGCAGCACACTGATCTTCCCAGTGAATGATCAGGATGGGTGTGTCAGCACAAGTTTAATCATTGGAGGGGAGCAGGATGAGTTCCCAACACATCTAAAGAACTGACCACGCTGTGCTCCCCTGCCTAATGTGGTAAATTTTTAATAGGAAAGCAGAACAACCGGCCAGAACACAAAGTACAGTCATGGCAAAAAACATTGGCACCCCTGCATTTCTGTCAGATAATGCACCACTTGGCCCAGAAAATTGTTGCAGTTACAAATGTGTAGGCATTCTCATGTTTATTTCTTTTGTTTGTATTGATATGACACACAAACGTGGAGAAACAAAAAGCCAAATCTGACACATTCCACCTAGAACTTCAAAAATGGACTGGACACAATTTTAGGCACCCTCAATTTAATATTTGGTAACACACCCTTGGAAAAAATAACTGAAATGAATTACTTCCTGTAACCATCAATGAGTTTCTTTACACCTCTCCTGGAATTTTGGAGCACTCTTCTTTCGCCAATTGCTCCAGGTCTCTCAGATTGGAAGGATTCCTTTTCCCATCTGCTGTTTTGAGATCTCTCCACAGGTGCTCTATGGGATTGAGATCTGGACTCGTTGCTGGCCAGTTCAATATTCACTTTGTCTTAAACCATTTCTGGGTGCTTTTTGACATGTGCTTTGGGTCATTATCCTGCTGTAATACCCATGATCTCTAACGGAGACCCAACTTTCTGACACTGGGGACCCTACATTGCACCCCAGAATTCTTTGGTAGTCTTCAGATTTCATAATGCCATGCACACAGTCAAGACATCCAGTGCCTGAAGCAGCAAAGCAACCCCAAAGCATAAGTGAACCCCCACCATGTATGACTGCAGGGACTGTATTCTTTAACCACTTGCCCTCCAGAGGATTTACCCCCTTCCTGACGAGGCCATTTTTTGCGTTACTTCAGCTGACAATTGCGTGGTCATGCAACGATGCACCCAAATGAAATTTGCGTCCTTTTTTCCCACGAATTGAGCTTTATTTAGGTGGTATTTGATCGCCTGTGCGTTTTTTATTTTTTGCGCTATAAAAAAAAAGACCGACAATTTGGAGAAAAAAAAACCCAATATTTTTGCTTTTTGCTATTTAAACCTGTCCAGTAAAATTTTTTTTTAAAAAATCAAATTTCGTCAAATGTAGGCCAAAATATATTCTGCTCCATGTCTTTGCTAAAAAAATTCCAATACATGTAAATTGGTTCAGATGAAAGTTTTATAGCGTTTACAAATGGCGGTATATATACTGGGCTTTTTTTTTTTTTTTTCTAGTAGTACTGGCGGCAATCAGCGACTTATAGCGGGACTGCAGCGGGCATTCTGACACTGGGGCGAACTGACTTGGTGTCAGTGACACCAGTACAGTGATCACTGTGAATAAAAAGCACTGACACTGTACTAATGGCACTGGGCATGAAGGGGTTAATGTGAGGCGATCAAAGGGTTAACTGTGTGCTTTTTTTTTTTTTTTTTTTTTTTAATAGGGGCTGTGTTAGTGCTTCACTGTAAACACACTGCTTTGCATGGCTGTGCGGTGCACAGCCATGCAAAGCAGCGTGCACAAGCTGACAGGGAGGAGAACAGTTTTATTTACTAACGGTTCTCCCCCCTGTCGGAGATGCTCGGCAATCACCGGGCGCCGGCGAGTAATCACCATCCGGGACCCGGTGATTGACAGCCGCAGCTGCGTCCCCTTCCCGGAAATGCAATATCACATATCTATATATGATTTTGCGCATCCATTCCGCCCTGTAGCAGTATATCTGCTATAGGGCGGACAGGAAGCGATTAAAGGCCTCATTGCTTTTTCTGAAAATAGTAGAATGATGGGCCTTCCCAAAAAGCTGTAATTTTTTTTAGTCTGTCCACAGCAAATTCTCCCAAAAAAGATTTTGGCTTCCTAAGGTAGGTTTTGGCAAACTCCAATCTGCCTTTTTTTATGTTTCTGTGTCAGCAGTGGGGTCCTCCTGGGTCTTCTACCATAGCGCCTCTTTTCATTCAAATGGCGACTTATAGTGCGAGCTTACACCGTTTGTACCCTGTGCCTAAAGGTCAGCTTGAATTTGCCTGGAAGTTGATCAAGGTTCTTTAACCACCATTCGAATAATTATTTGTTGCAATCTTTGATCAATTTTTTTCTTTCGTCCACGTCCAGGGAGATTAGCTGCAGTGCATTTGAATTTCTTGACAATGTTGCACACAGTGGACACAGATCTCTTAAGATCTCTGGAGATGGACTTGTAACCTTGAGATTGTCCATGCTTTTCCACAATTTTTGTTCTCAAATCCTCAGACAATTTTTAGCTGTTTTTTCTCTTCTCCATGCTCCCTGTGCCACACAGAGACACGTGTGAGAAAGGTTGAGTCAATTTTTCGCCATCTTAACTGGGTGCTGGTGTGATTTCTATATTGTCAGCACCTGTTAATTGATACAGGTGAGTTTAATTACAAATTACAGGAGCATCACAAACATGGAATGCAATTATTTCTTACAATTTTGAGAAGGTTCCAATAATTTTGACCACTCCATTTTTGGAGTTTTCTGTGGAATGTGTCAGATTTGGCTTTTTGTTTCTCCACTTTTTTGTGGCATACCAGTACAAACAAAAGAAATAAACATGAGAATGCCTAAATATTTGTAATTGCTTCATATTTCAGGGCAAAGTGGTGCATTATCTGACAGAAATGCAGGGGTGCTAATATTTTTGGCCATGACTGTCACAGAAAGGAAGCAATACAAAGAGGATATTTTTTCCATTCAGATACATGGCACAGCAGGCACATACCAGGAACATGAAATGTTGGATTTGCATATTCTTTAAATCCCAGTGGCTGTAAGAATACCTCAATCTATTTTCTGGATCTATTTTCCTACACATACCCTGTCCTAGGGGTCCTGGACAATTTTTACCTTTTGAGGGAGCAATCCACTTCACTGTTGGAAGCTAATGTGTCTTTCACAGTGCACACACTGCAGAGGTACTGATGAGTTCCAGACCTGACCTTGAATACCATCCTGGTAAAAATGATCTTCCCTCCAGACAAATGTCTTACTATGAGGACTCAAATGGAGTTGTTGAGAAATTGCTTGATTCATCTTTGTATGAGGGTTCTAGGAAAGATGGCAGCCTCTGTTGAGGCAGTGTCCTTCGATCAATTTAATTCCAGGCCTCTACAGCAGATCGCAGAATGGGACACCCCATTGTTTTTACACCCCTGCACAAGACTGTTTCTGGACTTAAAGATCTGCTCATGGTTGCTAGAGATGGGAAAATTGTTTCTTCCTCTCTCCTGAAAGGGTCTGATGATGGATGCCAGCCCAATGGGCTGGAAAGAGTTCTGGGCAATCTCTGTCCAGGGATCTTGATCACTGTAGGAGAGGTTGTTGGCCATCAACATACTAGAATTGAGGGCAATTCATCTTGCCCTACTACACTGCCCGGTGCTGCTCAAGAGCTTTTTTGTAAGTGTTCAGTTGGAAAAATCCACAGTGGTGGCATACATAAAACATCAAGGAGACACCAGAAGTCACGCTGCTCAGGAGGAAGTGCTTCTTATGCTGCCTTGGGCAGCACTCCATGTTTCTGTATTGTCTGCTGTCCACATTCCCTGCTTGGACAGGCGTATTTCCTTAGCCGTTAACAACTTTCTCCAGGGGAATGGGTTCTTCTCTTAGGGGTGTTTTGAGGAACTCTGTCAATAGTGGGGAAGCCCTTGTATGTGGATCTTCTGGCATCCAGGTTTATTTTTGAAGCTGAACTGGTTCATCTTCAGGACCAGGGATTCTCGAACATTTGCCGTGGATGCTCTGGTGACGCTGTGGGACCAGTTCTCCCTAATTTATTCTTTCCCGGTGTAACTGCTCCGACTTTGTCTGCTTAACAGGATTTGACTGGAAGGAATTTGTGTGATTCTGATTTCCCCGGTCTGGCCCAGGAGTATGGTACTTTGACATTTGTTGTGGCTTTACCAGCATGGTAATATAAAACAAAGTGAGCGCTACTAATAAGTTATCAATGGTCAAATAAGCAGCTAAATGCACTGAAGATGATCACAACCACTTCTGAAAAAATAAATAACTAAAGTGCAGCGCTCAAAATTCTGATATGAAATTTTACAAAATTCGATCTAAATAGTTCGATCAAAATTAAAAGTTCATAAAATCTTGCGAACGATTCATGAATATGGTGAGCACAGCTTATAACAAATCCGATAATGGCAGAAATGCGCACTCACCGACCGCGCATAGGAAATGCGCATATATGTATCAAATCCCCCAGATGTCGTTATCCTCCGGGAAGAGGTGTCGTCAGTCAATCTGCTGGGCTAGCAGGGCCTCCTTAGATTTGGATCAGCCAGGATACACGTTCTTTCCAGGTACAGGGTTCCCTCCTCTGGACAGGATATGTAGCTGGGTTGCGCTTCACAATCACGAGTTAGAATAATACAAAGTGTCTTCCAGTGAAGCCTGGCGGTCTCCTTAAGCCAGGCTTCACTGGAAGACACTTTGTATTATTCTAACTCGTGATTGTGAAGCACAACCCAGCTACATATCCTGTCCAGAGGAGGGAACCCTGTACCTGGAAAGAACGTGTATCCTGGCTGATCCAAATCTAAGGAGGCCCTGCTAGCCCAGCAGATTGACTGACGACACCTCTTCCCGGAGGATAACGACATCTGGGGGATTTGATACATATATGCGCATTTCCTATGCGCGGTCGGTGAGTGCGCATTTCTGCCATTATCCGGATTTGTTATAAGCTGTGCTCACCATATTCATGAATCGTTCGCAAGATTTTATGAACTTTTAATTTTGATCGAACTATTTAGATCGAATTTTGTAAAATTTCATATAATTTTGAGCGCTGCACTTTACCTATTTACTTTACCAGCATGGCTGTTGAAGCCAAGGTCTTGAGAGACAAGAGAGTCTCTGATTTGGTCAATCCTACCCCTCTGAAGCCTCATAAGTTGACTTCCAGGAAGATTTACCACAGAACCTGGAACCTGGATCCTCCCCAATAGGTCGTGGGTCACATCCTAGCTTTTCTGCAGTTTTCAATTTAGCAAGAGTTAGATGTCGGCCTTGTTGGTCCTTGTTCGGAGACTGATCGGTTTATATTCCTTGGTACATGTCTTTTGTACAAGGCGTCACATGTATTCCACCAATCAGGACTCGCATGAAGGATATTCCTTTAGTCCTTCTGACTCAGTTATGTTTTTGGGTTTTCAGAGTTTCAGAATTGGCTGCCCTTTCCTGTAAGGGAACCATTCCTCTCTCTCCACCATTACAAGGTGGACAAAAAAGTCACCATTTTTCTTCATTCCATCTCAAGCAGGACATTGTGTTGCCAGCTTTTTGTCCTAAGCTTCATGTCCCGGGGGACAGGGCTCTTCAGTGTGGATGTGGTTCGGGCTATCAGTTGTTGCTATTCCCTCTGTTGCTATTCCCTCTCTGTGCTTCCTGAAAGCCCAGAGAAGGGTCATACAGCTTCAAGATCTATGATTTCTCAATGGATTTGTCCATTTCTCAAGCTTATGGTCTAAAGAGCAAAGTTCCAACATTTTTGATAACTCCTTCTACCAGGAGTGTTGGTGCCTCCTGGACTATTCCTCATCAGGCTTCAGTAGCTCATGTTTGTAAAGCAGCTACCAGGTCTGTAGTTCATAATTTTACGAAGTTTTACTATATGAATGTTAGAACCGCTGAGATGCTACCTTTTGTCAGCATGTTTTGCAGGCTGCATGAGGTGCTAACCTGTTTTTGGTTTAGTTGTGTGGGTCCAGCTGGCTTTTTGCTGTGTTGCCCTCCCCTCATACTCCAGTGTTTTCAAACATCCCTATTGTAATGAATATGAAGATGCTATGTGTCCCGTGATGTACAAGGAAGAAAATCAGGTTTTTGTTTTACCTGTAAAATTCTTTTCTTTTCTTGGAGAACATCATGATACACAAAGATCCTGCCCTTTTTGTCTTGTGATTTATGGCTTGCTACAAAAACTGAAGCCTTGCCCTACAGGGAGGGATTGTGCCTTGGAGTAAGATGGCAGCATAACCCTGTTGTACTTGATATGAAGCTGCTCTGTGCCCTGTGATGTTCCCCAAGAAAAGGATTTTACAGGTAAACCAAAAATACACTTTTTGCCCAGGCAAAGTCATAGTCGTGTTGTGTAAATCACATGGTACAAAGCCCCCCCCCCCCAGAAAAAAATCAATTTTATTTTTATGTTTTAACGCAAAAAAAAAAAAACCAGGAAAAACACCAGGGGAGTAGAAAAATAAATATTTTTGCAAAGCACTGTATGTGCTCAGCTGGTGCATTATGTGGGAGACAAATAAGAACAACATCTGTTTGTGTATGCAAAGATTAACGACATCTAAAAATGTGTTTGCAGAGTCTCTTCTTAGTTTGCTACTTGAATGTTCAAGGCTGTGCATTATTTTTTTCCTGGTATGACAGCAAACGAAGAAAACGCTAAGGCACTTACATATTTATTTCTTGTAAACATGTAAAATACTTCAGCTGAAAAATCATTTTAAAAAAACATTTCCCCAATTTAGTGCATGCCTGGGGAAGCCCTCAATAATGATCGTGACAGGCTTTGAAAATATCCATGTGGCTATAGAGATACACAACAGTTGTAGAAAACAGATTGTCTGACTGTTTCTGTCTCTCTCTCACCACACACACACACTTACTTTCTCTCACTCTCTTTTATTTATTTGCAGATCCTACAGGTTCACAGCAGCCCATGAAAAGCTTAAGAGAAAGAAGACCAACTGACCTAGTGTTGGATTTGTACTCTGTTGCCAGAGAAGAGGGTGAAGGAATGGAAACCACAGACACTGATTCCATGTCCTCTGCCAACACTCATATAGCTAGTCTAGAGCAGCTACTTAGTTCACCTGATTTAAAAACAGGTAAACACTCTAGTTTTTATTTATAAGCAAATCTAAAGAAATCCATATTTAACATTGGTGTATTTTTTTTTTTTTATACGCTTGCAAAACATGGTTAACTCAGAAATACTAAAGTACATGTTGAGTTGGCTATTTTGTTGATGTTCATTGTAGATCATTGCTTTATGCAAAGCATTGTACCAGATATTAAGAATTTGTATTAATGCACATATGCATTACATACCTCCAGTCTAACTCCTTTTCTCTTGTGTTCATTGACGGACACAGCTTTTCTTAATCTTGACTATTGGGTTTATAGTGCCACTAGGACACCAGGCAGAAAAATTATTCAGCACTATCTGTGGGCAGTCCTAGCTGGTATACCCCCCCCCCCCCCCTTCTCTGCTATAGGCAGCTCAGTTATGTCTGCCTAGTGTCTCTGGAGTGAGGCCCTAGTTTCCTGCTGGGACCTGTGGGTTCCATATTTCTTTTTCCTTTCCTTTAATCTAGATCCAGTGATCATCCCAGCCTGGCCAATGAGCACACACAAACCTTTAGCTAAGCGCTGGGTCGGCTGCGACAAGCCCCATCAAGTTAAGCGTCTCGTGGGTACACATGACCGGGCGCCTACAGCCCCCCTCCCCCAAATGTCGTTGGTGAAGAGAATCTGTCTTACCTGAAAACTTCGTAGACTGGTAAGTGGAAGTCCCCCCCCCTTCATGTTTGGTATTGGAGCTGGTGGCCATTTTGGCTGTGAACAGCAGGAGACTCTGTGGAAGCAGGTAACTGAGGTGGTGAGTCTCCCATTTGCACACCTATAGCGTGTTGGTGTGTGGGCCTTGTGATCTTGGACACGGCAAGTGCGATAGCAGCCTAAGAGCAGGAAGAACCTTAGTTCCTTAAGGTGTCCCACAATGTAATGGCAGACTGCAGGGGGTGTGGAGCAGCAAAACTATAGCTTCACTAACACTGACATGCTCCCAGAATAGTGTCAGATGGATAAGAGAAGAAATCCATGTCGCAGGATAACTCTGCTGCCATTCAGCATTTCCATCCTGGTCCCCACAGTAGATATAAGCATGGTGAGCTCTGATCAGGACTAAAACGAGAGAAGGATCTTGAAACATTTAACCTTGGGCAAAGTTGGCATGGCAAGCAAGAATTTCCGAATGGGCAGTGCTTGGTTGTCAGTGGGGCTCCCCTTTGGCCTGTCCTCCACTCCTTTGTTGTTGTTTTTTTTTTTTTTCCCCCAAAGTGCTGGCCCTGGCATTGCTGAGACAAAAGGGGATTGCCGTGATTGGCTATCTAGATGATCTTCTCCTCCGAGCAGGAACTCCTGCAGTGCTGATGGTCCACAAGGTGATCTCAATGTGCTCTGCAGGACTTTGGATGGGTCCTGAATCTCAAGAAGTCTGCCCTGGCCCGGAGGCTGGAGTCTTGGGGTTTTCTCCTCTACTTTTGTACAGACCAAAAGTATTCCTTCCACTGGACAAGCTCCGGAAGCTTCAGTGGTGATTTGACTGTGGCTGCCCAGCAGGTGGGTTCTCCTGCACGCATGTGCTGAATCTCATGGTGTCCTCTGTTGCGCTGGTCTGTTGAAACGTGTTTTATGCTTGTTTTTTTCTTCCCTCTCAGGCTTCTCCCTGTCTGCTGCCCAGGGTTGTGGCCGATGGGTTTCTGGTCATCTTGGTTGCCCCGGACTGGCCCCGTCATCCTTAATACTTCAGTGTGGTGCAACCGGTTGAGGACGTGCCTGTGTGGCTGCCCCTGTGTGCAGTTCTTTTGTCCCTCAGACCTCTCTGTCCTAGCCAGTGATAGTCCAGGAGGTTGGAAGTTTGTCAGTCAACAGCCAGGTTCTGAGAGACAAGAGGTTGTCAAGCTTAGTGCTTCCTACCATGCTGTAGGCCCGTAAATCTACCTTTTTGGGAGGTTTCCCATTGCATTGCATGGCTTACTTTTCTTGGTGCAGAGCTACATCCGCATTCTTCTCAGTGGCTTGGACTTTGTTTTTTCTTGGGAGAGGGATTTGCTCAAACAACTTGCCTTAAAGTGGTTCTAAAGGCTCAAGGTTTTCTACATTCATGCATTGTATGCACGAAGATAAAAAACCTTCTGTGTGTAGCAGTCTCTCCAGCCCCCCTAACACTTGCCTGAGCCCTATCCCGATCCAGCGATGTTCATGAGAGTTCTCAGTTCTCTGAGGATTGTCACTCCTAATTGGCTGAGGCAGCAGTGGCAGCCATTGGCTTTTCCTCATCATCACTTGGCTACTCACCCCTTGGTGGTTGTGTGGTGGTTTATGTAAGAATTTATTCCAAATACTTAGGGCGTTGTCCACTCCTTTAAACAAAATATTGCAGTGCCTCCAGCCGTTAAAATACGTCAAATATTTAAGAAACCAATAATTTGGAAACCTTAATAATTTGTTCACCACTTAATAATATACCTTGAGTTTTTTCACCAATATGATTTCGTACCATATACACAAAATTTGCCTTTTTGATAAATAAATACATTTATGTACAAAATTGATATATATATATATATATATGTTACTATCTATATGGGATCATACAATATATGATTTTCAAATAAAGGAAAACAAAATTTTGGGAGGTTAGTTGCAACCCATAGTGCTTCAGATATTCTTTCTCATTTCTCCTGGCCATAGGGAAAGAAGAAAATATCTCTCATAATTAGCACCACACAACACTACAAATTAGTTAATATGCAGTATATAACCTCAATACCAATATTCAAACAGTTATAGTTAATAATAATTCAGAGGACCATAATACATGCCTAACCACACAATAAAATGTTATAAATCGTAGAAAGTCTGAAATGTCAAAGAAAATTACAATATTCTAGCACAGTCTCACCACTCCCAGAATCTTGATTTTGAGGTCTCCCCAATGGGACGCAGTTGTGAAAAGAAGTATTTCTGGGCAGTCATGCACCAGAATTTAACTGAGCATCAGCGTCTCGGGTGGAAATCTTTTCCTTCAAAATGGCAGCTGGACGTTCTCAGCAAAATGGCCGCAGGTGGCAAGTGAGGTATAGTGCAGTATATAGTGCAGTATATAGTGGTAGTAAAATAGTAAAGAAGTAGTTTCAGGAGTAGTTCAGAAGTGATCCAGAAGATTAGAGTTTTCAGAAGACTGTAGAAGATTGGAAGATTGCAGATGATGGATTGTAGATTCTAGAAGAATTCTGGAGTTCTCTCTCACTTTGAGGTGTCGGGCCTTTTAACAAGTTCTTTGTTCCGAGGGACCGCCCAACAGACTTGTTGATTGGACGGTTGAACAGTTTGCGTACCTAGAGATGTTCCTAACCTGCCCACTGGGGACAGTCAGGTATTACAAATGAATTGGTGGTCTTAATGATGACTCACTCTTTGATATCAACAGTATGTCCTTATGGATCAAATATATGTCCTATTCAAATATAGATGATTTCACTACTAACTCTTGGATAAGAACCATAGAAAGATGTGAATACATTTGGTTTCTCATTTTTCTGATATATGAACTGTATTGGAATGGTTGATTTTCTTTGCAAATATAAAAGTTACCCAATTCACAAACCTTCTTCTGTTCAATCACTTCAAACTTCAGTTGAGTGGTATGCAATACCCAACTTTGTTAAATAGATTTTTCCTTGATGGACAAGTGTTGGTAATATGCTTTTTGATAATGTTTCAGTTCATGTATCCCAAACTCTTTATTTTAAATGACCCAGATTTCACCCTATACTGCATATACAGTTCAAGGAGATGTGATGGAGAACCTCTAGTTACTTGCCCTATTGTGTGAGAATTAAAGTACACATCCAGTTGGAGTTTAGTGAGATGCTCTACTCACTATAATTGAGTTTCTTGCAACTTAAGTATCTCCTGGCTTCCCATAGACAATGGTGCTTGTTTAGTAATCACACACTTCCCAAGGGTTTGGGAGAAATACAGGCAATCAGATCTTAGTCTCACTATTGTCACTTTTGTACTGTGTTTGATCACCTGCAGAAATTCAAATAGTGGTCTTTAATCCTATTGTCTTTTAAACAAGTCTCTTCCACTCATTGTGTGTGGTAACTTTTTGGAAGGTCACTTGAAATTAACTGAAGATGTTAACCCATGACGGTCAGCTAGGATTCCCAATTTGGGATAATATCATTTTCCTTAATAAACTGTCCAAAAGTCATCACAATTGGTACCTTTTTTCAAGGGTGCCTTGGAACTTGCACTTGGTTCTTCGGTCCTTCAGATGCCTCTGTTTGAGTATCTTGGAGATTCTCTTTTGTCTACGTTAAATCATAGAGGTCCCCATCTTGGTTACTATCACCTTGGCGTGCGTAGAGGGAGAAGCAGACAGCTTGGCGTGCTGAGTAGCAAGCTACCCGCCTTGTCCTATAACTCCCCCAAACCCGGTTCTGCATGGGAGGTACAGTGGTGCTCTGTCAGCCCCCTCTTCCCTGCCAAAGGTGGTATCCTTTTCCCACATACACGGGGACTTTGTCCTATCTTCCTTGTGTCCACGCCCTTTGCCCCCTAAGGAGATTGCGCTGCACTCTTTGTATGTGGTCTGGGCGGTTCGTTGTACCCATCTCTACAGATCCCTTTGGGAGGATGGATCCTCTGTTTTGTGTTTGCAGACGGCCTGCTTAATGGCCTGGCAGCCTCCTCTGCTGCCGTTTCTTGTCGGATATGGCAGACTGCTATTTTGCCTTGTGCCAGCAAGAGTTGGGCTCCTTCCTTCCTGCCATGGCACATAGTGCTTTTTTGGCTTTCCGACCTCTGGGGTCTCTGTCTCACGTTTGCAAGACAGCTACCTGGTCAGAGACACACCTTTATCAAATTTTTACAGAATGTGTTTGCATCCTTGGATGCTTTGTTTGGCCGCAAGGTTTTGCAGGCTGCTGTTGGGGGGTGTTTTTGGGTGGTTGCATGATTTGCCTGTTTTCCTTTTGTTTTTTCCTGCTTGCCCACCCCTCATTGGATCACTGTTTTGGGATGTCCTTATGGTCAAGATTTAAGAAGAGCTGTGTCCAGGAAAGAGATGCGAAGAATCATTCAACAATTAATGGACTTCCGGGTCCCAGACGATCCTGCCTTCTTCCTTCTCCATTGCTCTCACATTCGTACAAGAAGTTGGTTCTACATAACTTAATGCCACCAAAGCCTGCATCGCTCTTCAGTGGAAAAACCAAAACCACCCTTCCATCTAATTGTGGCTCAACATGGTGGCAGACGACATCCAGTTCGAAGATTTGGTCCTCTCTGCCCAGAACAGGCAGGAGTAATATACCAAAACCTGTTTCTACTGGAACATGTTAGTTTATTCTGATGAGGGCAAGGCCCTACTGGAAACCTGTGCTGAGGATTAACTTCCTTCTGTCATTCTTTCCGACACACGCACCCCAGCAGAGCATCCCCCTGCTTTTTTTTTTTTTTTTTTTTCTCTCATGCTCCCATGCCTTCCCAGTACTCCCCATGCTCTTGTGATTTTTTCTCCTCTCCTTCCCTGAAAATTGGGTGTCTCATGGAGCATAATATGGTGCCTGGTGACCAGCAGTTCAGTGGTATGGGGATGTCTCTCATTACCACCTTGGTATCTAGCGATGTTTTCTTTCCAATATACTTACACTGCTCCAGGCCGCCATTCAGGATTCCCCTGCTGCCCTGAGGTCTGTTAACTTCATCGGACGGATCTCTCCAAATGCGCAGATAATGCACTTATTAGCACTTGATATACAGGTGAAACTCAAAAAATTAGAATATCGTGCAAAAGTTCATTTATTTCAGTAATGCAACTTAAAAGGTGAAACTAATATATGAGATAGACTTATTACATGCAAAGCAAGATAGTTCAAGCTGTGATTTGTCATAATTGTGATGATTATGGCTTACACCTCATGAAAATCCACAATCTCCGAAAATTAGAATATTGTGAAAAGGTGCAATATTCTAGGCTCAAAGTGTCCCACTCTAATCAGCTAATTAAGCCATAACACCTGCAAAGGGTTCCTGAGCCTTTAAATGGTCTCTCAGTCTGGTTCAGTAGGAATCACAGTCATGGGAAAGACTGCTGACCTGACAGTTGTGCAGAAAACTATCATTGAAACCCTCCATAAGGAGGGAAAGCCTCAAAAGGTAATTGCAAAAGAAGTTGGATGTTCCCAAAGTGCTGTATCACAGCACATTAATAGAAAGTTATGTGGAAGGGAAAAGTTTGGAAGATAAAGGTGCATAAGCAGCAGGGATGACTGCAGCCTGGAGAGGATTGTCAGGAAAAGGCCATTCAAAAGTGTTGGGGACTTTCACAAGGAGTGGACTGAGGCTGGAGTCAGTGCATCAAGAGCCACCACACACAGACGGATCCTGGACATGGGCTTCAAACGTCGTATTCCTCTTGTCAAGCCACTCCTGAACAACAAACAACAAGCGTCTTACCTGGGCTAAAGAAGTACAGACCTGGTCTGTTGCTCAGTGGTCCAAACTCCTCTTTTCTGATAAGAGCAACTTTTGCATCTTATTTGGAAACCAAGGACCCAGAGTATGGAGGAAGAATGGAGAGGCACCCACTGCAAGATGCTTGAAGTCCAGTGTGACGTTTCCACAGTCTGTGTTGATTTGGGGAGCCATGTCATCTGCTGGTGTTGGTCCACTGTGCTTCATTAAGTCCAGGGTCAACACAGCCGTCTACTAGGAGATGTTGGAGCACTTCATGCTTCCTTCCGCAGACAAGCTTTATGGGGATGCTGACTTCATTTTGCAGCAGGACTTGGCACCTGCCCACACTGCCAAAAGCACCAAAACCTGGTTCAATGTCCATGGGGTTACTGTGCTTGATTGGCCAGCAAACTCGCCTGACCTGAACCCCATAGAGAATCTATGGGGCATTGCCAAGAGAAAGGTGAGAGACATGAGACTAAACAATGCAGAAGAGCTGAAGGCCTGCTATTGAAGCATCCTGGTCTTCCATAACACCTCAGCAGTGCCACAGGCTGATAGCTTCCATGCCATTCCGCATTGAGGCAGTAATTGCTGCAAAAGGGGCCCAAACCAAGTACTGAGTACATATGCATGCTTATACTTTTCAGAGGTCCGATATTGTTCTATGTACAATCCTTGTTTTATGATTGCATGTAATATTCTAATTTTCTGAGATTGTGGATTTGGGGTTTTCATGAGCTGTAAACCATAATCATCACAATTATGACAAATCACAGCTTGAACTATCTTGCTTTGCATGTAATGAGTCTATCTCATATATTAGTTTCACCTTTTAAGTTGCATTACTGAAATAAATGAACTTTTGCATGATATTCTAATTTTTTGAGTTTCACCTGTATATGACATTCACTGTGTACTTCTGTACTTTGGCCTTTGTGTGCATATTCTTTACGTCCTCTCACCCTAGGGTACTCTACTGTTTGTAAGATGTTGCCATTGTTTCGATCTGCATTGCTTTGTTGGATACTTTAATTGTATAAATAAATAAAAAGAGCTGTGCCCGTCATTGAACACAAGAGAAAACAGGATTTTTTTTTTGTTACTCACCGTAAAATCCCTTTTTCTGAGTTCATTGACAGACACCTCACCCACCCATTTTGTAGTTAATTTTTCCTGGTACTGCTTTGTGACTGTGTTGCCTATAGCAGAGAAGGGGTTTATATCAGCTTGGACTACCCATAGGCGGTGCTGAGTTCTTTTTCTGCCTAATGTCCTACTCCTGTAGGTGGCGCTATGTGCCCTATGATCAAGATTAAGAAGAGCTGTGTCTGGCAATGAACTCAGAGAAAGTTATTCTACAGTAACAAAAACAATCCTGTTTTTATACTCAGAAAGCAATAAGCAGAGTGGGATAAAGGAAACCATCAGGTGACTCAACCCCTCCCAGCAAATCTGCCCTCTTTTTTTTTTCCTGAGCTTCATAAAATTCCCTAGTGTGTCTGATAACTGAAGGAAGTGCTGTTATCTGAAAGAAATAAAACCGCATAGATCTTTCAGACAAGCTGTTAAATTGATATGTGTAGTAAGAATTATCTCTACATTTTCAGAATTCATTTAATGCAGTTCTAATGCAAATAATGTGTTTACTACTTTTTGTTTTGTAGCTGTAGAGACACCCCAATGGCAGCCTGAAATTTCCAGGGAAGAACTAACTGAGAAGCTCAATACAGCATCAAAGAGTGTGGATCATCTGAGTGGTTTGCTGCATGAAACTGAGGCAACAAATGCCATGCTTATGGAACAAATAACAGTATGTCATATGCTCCCAAGACAGGAAAATTAATTGTTTATGTTCATAGTATAGCGTGCAATATGAAGTGGATAGAATTGTTTGCAAAGTTGTGTAAAACATAAAAGCATGATGCTGTTTGGGGAAAAAAAAAAATATTACACATGTATTGTAGTTATACTTAGGGGCGTGTTTATAAAGCAGTTAATCTGACATTCACAAAACACCAACTGCTGGTAAATCTTCATGGTGTATGTGATTTTAAATGACAATGATTGATTTACCTCCAGTGAATGCTTGGTGAAACTTATATTCACTAATTTATAAATATGCCCTTTAGTGTAAATGTCACGTTACAAGCAAAAGATCAAAAGACAACCAGTAAAATTATTTCATATTTGTACATCTTAGGACACAGGGTACTTAAAGGGGGTATTAAACCCAAAAACACAAATTTATTATATGGCAGCTTACAATTTCTTAGATGTGATGACTGCATTCATTTTCTTTTTAGGCTTTCTTTCTTCTATTTTTCTCTAGTGATCCAGCCAGTAAGTCTGTTATTTTTCAAACGCAGAATACATCAGAATGTATCAGATAAGACAAACCATTCAGCTTCAATTTGTTAGATGTATTAGCAGATTTAGATACACTAATACTCCCCTGCCCCCAGACTGACAACGCAATTGTCCAAATGTGCCCCCTGTGCTTATTCATCCAGAGTGGAGGCCCTCTAATACAGGAACTGTGTTACTGGCAGATCACCAGGTGAAAGCAGGAAAAAAAAGCCTTAAAATAAAAAACAAATGCAGCTACCACATCTAATGATTGGTAAGCTGCAATATATTACATTTATTATTTTGGGCGTAATACTGCTTTGATATACATAACTACTTGGATTATGCTGCCACTTTCAGGTGAATTTAATGTACTCGCATAACACATCCCAGCTCAGGTAAGCCTCCGTTCTTCGCTAGTGTTCTTGGGTGATGAATGTGTCCTACCTACCATGTCTTTCTTTTAGTAGACACTTGTCCCCCATTCCATGACCTAAACTGAACACACCTGCTGGGGAAGGGAAAAGCCTCATCTGGATCGATTGCCTATGGGCCCTAAAGCCAAGAGGAACTGTACCCAGAACTTGCATGCAGCAGTAGGAGTGGCCCCTATTATTGCTTTTTGGTACCGGGTTAGTGGGCAGTGATCTCCAGGGTATGCCAAATCTGGTGATCTTGCTAGTATGGTGCTGTACAAGTCCATGGCAATTTTCACCTTCCTGGGAGTTGAGTCCCTGAAGGCCATGGGGTGTGTCCACTATAAGCAACGAAGATTGGACCATTTGGCACTTCAGCAAAAATTGGTGAGTGCCTCTGTATGTGAAACACGGGTGACAGCCCCCTAGTGTTCTCTGGTGCTTTTGGACAGTAAAGACTGCTTACAGTGAAGGATTTGAGCAATACACCACTGTAGCTGTGTTCACAAGCAGTTGATCTGTTGCATGTGTGCAATAATTACGTTAGGCGCAGCTGCTCATGCACAGGTTTTCAGCTCCTCTGGACAGGGAAACGTTCAGTCGGCTGCTCCTAGGCACAATACTGACACAGGTCTAGCACAATTCCTGCATTAAGCAACACAGCCGCAGAACACCTATAAAGCAGTAGTGCCAGTGCTCTGCAAGTGTTAGGACAAAAAGGGAGTGACTTGCCAATTAGGTGTCCGCCATTGGCAGACACCCCTCTCAGCTGGGGGCTGCTCCTGTTTTGGGGTTCCAGTTCTCTTGACCATTGGCAAGCAATGGCAGAAAGGTCTGGGAGTAGAACAATGAAGAGGGCTCTCAAATCCCTCTGTCAGGTAGGGAGCATCCCCTGCATACTTTGCCTTGTAATTGCTCCCCTAAGGGTCATATTAGTTCTGAATCCCTGCCCCTTCTGCTATTTTACTGTTTTGGGGCAAGACCAGCTCTCAGGGGTCCTCACTGGTTTGAATGCTTGATTCACAAGTGTGGCTGCTCTCCTTCTCCCTCCTCACTTTTTCAGGGGAGATAGGATGTCGGAAGAACATCCTCAGAATTTGCAGAAGGAGAAACCTGATGAGTCCTTTCAGCAGCAGTCTCAAGGTCAGGGTTGTCTCGGACGCAGAAAACCAAAGTGGACGTCTGCACAATCCTGGTGCAAACTAATTTGAAGTTGCCACTTCCAGTGTCCTCTTCTACAAAAGTTACTGGATTTGGGGTCTGGTGTCTGCCAAAATACCCCAAATCTTCTGCTGTGTAATCCCCATTTGCAAAAGGTGATGTATGCTAACTGGGCTCAGCCAGAGAAGGTGTACTCACCAGTGAAGAGTTTCACTTAGTAACTAATAGAGGAGCAGTTCTGGTATACATGGGGTTGTCCAGCTGCTAACACAGCCACTTTCAGCTTGAATAAAACCCTGAAGGTCCCAGTGAATGAGGTCCCAGTCTTTAACCACTTTACTACTTCTTCAGTTTTTACATTTTTCGCACACATTAAAATCTGCATTTTTTGCTAGAAAATTACTCAAAACAATGTATATTTTCTGAAATTAGAGGACTTGTAGAATTAAATGGTGACATTTTGCAGTTTTTTTATTGCATGATATTTCGCAACTGTTTGTCAAAACACGATATAATGCCCATTTTTTTGCAATATAAAAGATGGGGTTGCATTGACTAAATCGATACCAAATATGTCAAGTCTTTAAAATTGTGCACACCTGAGAAGTGATAAAAAACTGGTACCCAAAATTATCAATTGGCGACTCTTTGATAAACTTTTACAGGTTACATTTACATTTTAGAGTTAAAGTGTTTGTTACCCCAGCATTTCATATTCCTGATATGTTTTTGTTGTACCATGTGCTTGTATGAAAAAGTATCCTGTTCTCTTTGCATTGCTTCTTTTGTGTGGAACACCTGGTGATCCTTCCAGTCACCCTGCTTTCCTATTTCAAACTGATCTCGTTAGGCATGGAAGCACATCCATCCCAGTGTTGTCACTTATCTTCTTTGCATTCCACTTGGGGAGCACAGTCTGCCTGTATTCCAGTGGTCAGACTTTTGCTGACAGGTACCCCCCCCTGCACATCTCTTCACTGGGAAGATCAGTGTAATGCTATTTCTCTGTCTTCTGCTGACACACGCACCCCTGCAGTCTTCATCCCCAGCTGTCTTATGCAACTAAGAAAAGAGGTGATAAAATTAAGGAACAAAAGTGTGTCTGTCTGTGTCTGTCCTCCACCACCTGCCCTTTCCCCTAACTTCTCCGTCAAGATTGATGGGACAACTTTCAGCCCATCCCCATATACTCTGGTGCTAGGGGTAACCCTGCACTTAGAACTCTCCTTTTGGCCCCACATTCAATTTGTGTCCAAATCACGTCACCTCAATCTCTGCAACATCTCTAAAATACACCAACCCCACCAGAATGTTTTTAATTCACTCCTTGGTTATCTCTAACCTAGACAACTGCGATTCCCTCATCATTGGCTTACCTTTTAAATAGGCTTTCCCTTCTTCAGTTTATTATTAATGCTGCTGCCAGACTCATCCACCTTACAAAACCGTTCAGTGTCTGCTACTCCTCCTCTCTACTGATCCCTCCATTGTCTTCCGCTCACCCTAAGAATTAAATTCAAAATACTAACAACAATTGACAAAGCCATCCACAGCTTTGCCCCAGCTATGTACATCACTAACCTTGTCTCAAATAACCAGCCAAACCTCCGGTCCTCACAATACCTCCTGCTCTCTGGCCCCTTACAGCTGTGATCTCCTCATTTCATGGGCATGCAGAGTTTTAAATCTCGACATGTTTGGTATCTAGTTACTCGATGCAACATCGTCATTTATATTTTATCAAAAGTTAGGTATTAGATTGTGTATGTTTGCACTAAAATTAATTTAAGTGTATTTTTTCCTGAAAATTTTCATTTGATAAATGGCTGTGCACATATCATGCAACAAAAAAAATTGTAACCGTGACTGTTTTATTCTCCAGTGCCTCTGCTTACCAGAGATTTATAATGTTTGGTGGTTCTAAGTTTCTTTCTAGAAAAAAAAAAATGCTGGTTTTTAACACGAATGTGAAAAATTTTAAAATTGCCCCAGACAGCAAGTAATTAACTTACCTGTAATTTCCTTATCTTGAAGTACAATACAGAACAGATGATCCTCCCCTCTGTCTCTGTGGGCTTTCCACAGAGCTGACTTCTGGCTAAACCAAAAAAAAAATGGAGTCCCACAGAGCGGGTGGGGTTATATGAGTGTACCCCTATGGGCAGCCTTAGCAAAGTTTTTGCTAGTGCCTGATCTTGTGAAGCTAGCAGCATAAAACCCATTATCTATGAATACAGGCCCTGTGTCCCTATACTGTATTCCAACATAAGGAATTTACAGATAAGTAAAAATTAAATTTTTCTTAACTTTTATCAAGCCATTTTTGTGACCGATGACTAGGGACCTTTCAAATCTGAGCAACGGCCCTGTCTTTATTTGCATGACATTGGTTAGCAGAATGCAGTGCATCCTAAAATGTACTGAAAAACATATTTCAAACTTTAATTCGCTGTTAACATAATCGTTAAAATGTTTTTCCATCATAGCTTCTCAAGAATGAAATTAGACGCCTGGAAAGGAATCAGGAAAGAGAAAAATCGGTGGCCAATTTAGAATACCTGAAAAATGTCTTGCTGCAATTCATTTTCCTCAAGGCAGGCAGCGAAAGACAACGTCTTCTTCCTGTCATAGACACCATGCTACAGCTTAGCCCAGATGAGAAAGGAAAGTTGTATGCCATAGCACAAGGTAGGATAGATAAGGTTGAATACAAGCCTTTCTTTTGTCTTTTTTTTTTTTTTGTAGAGCACTTAGTAAAATTGTTATCCTTAAATCTTTCTTGTTTTGTTTCATAGGTGAGGAGGAGTCTGCGTCTCGTCCAGCTGGATGGGCCTCCTATCTCCACAGCTGGTCAGGACTCCGGTAGCTCCCAAGAAAGAGAGATTTGTACAAAAACATTCCAGATTTGCACTAAAACATTGTAATTATTTTACAGTATATGGTTTACCGAATTTATGTTTAAACTGGAAACTCCCAGGTGTCTTTCCAGACTGAGGAGTCTTAGAGTGCCTATTTAAAGTTAATATTAAATTATAAGTACCTCTGCACAAAGTTATTCTATTATGATTACATACTGTGATTCCTTTCTGTTTGGTTGGTTATAGCTTTTTCATCATCAATTAGTACATTGCTTTTAAGGAAAAGATTTATCATTTGCACGCTGCTGCCACATGTATGAAGGTGGCATGGCCTATTCTTTATTTTTGTTTTGAAACGGCTTGATGCATGTCTTGCATATGGCATTGCAAACCAAAGAATGTATGCTAGCCATTAGCAACCTTTAGGCAGTCGATCAGCTTATTTAAAATAAGTTGATTTTGTTACAATTAAGCCTTATCTTTGGATATTTCAGTTTGATCTCTATTATATATATGACAATGTTAATTTAGTTTTGAACAGTTATAAAAGTTGCACAAGAAAAATAACTCTTTTCCCTAAGCAGAACCCAACAGAGATTTTTTTTTTTCTTGTTTAATCTATATATTAAAGAGAGAGTCTATATATTATTGCTTGTTTTTCCCAATTTAAATGAAGATAATAGCAGGGATATCTGCAGAACCCTATGATCCATCCCTATGAACTTTATCAGCCTGAAAGGTTTAAAGACGTTTTGCAAAACAATAGATGGGAAGTTAGATTGGTGGTATAGTATATTTGGGAGGGTAGTGGGGAATGTAAGCATTCCTTTTGGGTTTGTTTGGCCCATTTTTACAAAATAGGTGACATGGAAAGAAAGAAGACGTAGTCACAACCAGTTAGACTTCCCATTAAAAGAGTATTAACCCTACACCATTTTAACATATCCATGCACATAATATAAAGAATAAAACATAATGTATTTGTAAAAATCAAAAAATGTCCCCAGTCACTTACTAGCCAATGTTTCCAAACTGCTCTCTTATTCCAAGCGCCACTTACCCCGAACTTCAGCTGAGGATGGCACACGCACAGTAAATGCCACAAATTCACATGACTGAAACTACAAGTTCCATCATTCTTAGAGCTATTGACACACAGTGTGTGTGTCCACAGCCATTAATCTTTTTCTGTAGTAGGGGGATAGGGAGTAAACTAACTGGGTGGGGGATGCCTTCCCTTCAAGGGAAAGTAACCTCCTCAATGCCTAGTACACAAGATGAGAAAATTGGATGGAAAAAAAAACGCATTTGGAGTGATCGTCCGATAAGCACGAAAATGTTTCTTGTAAGATAACAAAGTGATTTTCATTTAATCCGCACAGTATTCGTAAAAAAATCTAGTGACCAAGACTGTGCATGCTTGGAAATGAAAGAATACATTACAATAAAATAATTACATCACATCCAAAGTTTTATTCTATCAAGAATTTTCGTAACGGTAGTAACCTATTAAAATGGATGATCATTCGTCTGATCATCGTGTATACTAGGTATACTAGGTTTTCAAAGTAATGGCAGACGGGAACACAGAATTCAAACATCAAACCAAGTAAGTGTGCACCTGTGCTGTTTGTCATTTTTATATAGAGGGTTTAATATCACTTTAATTGTAAAGAACGTATAGGGGATTAGGATCAACGACCTAAAAATACTGTTTGAAATAATCTCATTTGTTAAAGTGTATGTCAATGCAAAAAAAAAAAAAAAAACATATTTTGTACATCTCTTCTACACATGCACCATGCACATTTCCCCATGATATATCTATATATATATATATATATATATATATCTTGGGTTTTTTTTTTTTTTTTTTTTTTACTAAAGCTGAGGCATACAAAATCTGGTGCAGCTCTGCATAGAAATCAATCAAATTCCAGGTTTTAGTTTCAAAGCTTAATTGAACAAGCTGAAACTAGAAGCTTATTGGCTACCATGTGCACCAGTTTTAGTAAATCTCCACCATTGTGTGCTCCTAACTTCCTCTTTGACTTGACAACATGGTGTACTTCAGGCTTTGAATTCCAAAGCACTTGTTGTCATCCTCGCCTATGTCATCTCTGATGCATTACAAAAGTCAGCCCATTCACGCCCCCCTCCTCATCTTCATAACTCATCATCCTTTTTGTTTGTGCATAGAGCACAGGAAGTTATTAGCTCACAAGATTTCTGACAAACTTTCAATGGTATATTTAGTAGACTAAGAGGAAGCAAAAGGGAAAAGTGCATTGTTAAACTTACATACACTTTAAAATTGTTTGCTGTATATTTACCTCTGGTCTAGTTCGGTTACGGTTTTGTTTTGTTTTTCCAATTTTGTTTGTGTGTTAATTACTGCAACCAGTTTGTCGGATGTATAGATTGCATTAAAGCTGAACTCCCAGGTATTTCGCTAAATATACAGCTGAAATACACAGTATATGGACAATGTTTTACCCTGGATTCATTGTTCTCTGTAGCTAATCTTTCGGTTACTTCTGCCATCCAGCACAGCCAGGTCAGAGGTGACTAATTAAAGTGTTAATAAACTCACAACAGTAAAATCAGTCTGTATATGCAGTAAAGCATACTTTTTATACTCTCTGTACCTGAACCTAAAGGCTTAATCCTCCGCATTGTGTAAAAAGGCTGTTTGATCCTGTCTTCTTTGATCCTTCCCTTCTTCCACAGTCCCCATTCTCTTTACTGATAGTACAGAGCCCTAAGAGGCACTCTGCACATGCTCAGTTTGGGTTTTTTTTTAGGGGGGGGGAGGCATGTCATCAGCACGATCCAGTCAGCACTGTCCAGGCAAATGGGTCAGGGTTCATGCAGACTCATAGGACTGTCAGAGGAGAATGAAACTCCTACAAGCTTTAACAAGTGCTCGGCCGGACACTGATAGAAGTCACAAGACTGCAATATACTGCCAATGAGGGTATTTAGCAGTTTATATTTACTAAAATAATTGCATTTCCATGTTCTGTGTACTGTGGAAAAATGGATGTAGTTAATGCAGGGTCCTGGGTTTAGTTACACTTTAAAGGATAGGTTCCCTATTGGTAAAATGTAACATCTTACACCGGCATTTAGGGTGTGACATGTAACATGTTACTAAAGAACACCTGCCTGCACCCCTTCTAACCCCTGCTGTGACAGTGGGCGGAGGATCTTCTCCCCACACCTGCTGTCATAATTTAAAGAGAAAGGGGGTGCTGTTGCCCTTAGGAAAAAAATTTTAAATGTATGAAAATTGTACTATATATATGATACCTATATAGCAGCAGTCCTAATTGTGAAATTCTATACACAAATTCATAAATATTTCAAATGGACCGCGCGAAGGTCACAAATCAACTAAATCCAATGTGCAAATTAAAGTGATAACAATGAACAAAATTCAAATACAATATTCGTATTCAGTCCTGACATGTGAATATTTAGTGCAATGGTGCTGTGTCTTTAACGGTGAAACTCCATACTGAAATGACTGTGTTCACACTGGTGCCCCACATAGATGTAAACTCCATGTCATTTCATGACCACCTATCTCTAGGTAAGTCACACTCACTTTTGGGACTATCCCAGTATGCAATATGGTCCAGATGGCCGATATTCCTTCACCCTCTTAACCGTGGTTGCTGGTAGTAACCGAAAACCTTCCACTAGGACTGCATCAATATTAGAAAACTTCTCTCCTCCACGGGTAGTATTTCATATTTTCAGCATAAATTAAAACAAAACCAGACATCCCATTGTGTAAAACCGTATAGAACTTTATTATGGGGTCAAACAATAAAAATGCCACTCACAAAAAAGTGCCTTTCCTGGCACTGGGTGTATTTAGCTTTGTATATTATGAAGGGGAATTAGGATGGCCGCCGCGTTCCAGCATGCGTTCCAAATACCGGAAGTGACATCAGAGGAACACAACTTCCTCCAGCATCCTCAGTGGTTGTGGGAGCGTTGAAACAAAATGACCAAATTGATAGTACCGCCACTCGTCTTATGTGAAAAATATAAAAAAATTTTCCTCTTTAAACCTAACAAAGTGCACACTTTCCCCTTTTTCATTATATTCTTCAGACATGCATTTGTATCTTTAATCCATTTCACGAAATATTATCTTTCCCTGGAGATTAAATACTCCGTTCCCTTCAATGGAATTAATGTTGAATTCTATTTCCATCCCTTTTGCTTGTGTATAGTGTCCCACACTCTTAAAACTTTCCTTGTCAAAGAACTAGTATTCACATTCAATATACGAAAATGATATAGTATCCAGATAATCTTCTCCAATTGTGCCTTACTCATAGTCTCCGATATTTACCTAACATTTCCATTGTGAATTATATGTCCAATCTACAATTCGTGATAATATCACTGATAAATAATATTTCCTAAAATTAGGCAGGTTTAATCCCCCGTTCCTTTTTGCCCTACACAGTACCTCATATTTTATTCTTGGTTTCTTACTTACCCATATAAACTTAAGTATCATCCTCTTTATTATCTCAAAGAAAGATCCTGGTAAACATATTGGGAGCATGTGAAACTTGTACAGAATTTTTGGTTCTTCACCAACTTTACCAGATTTATGTGACCTATCCAAGAGGCCCCTCCCTTTAAAAGTCTCCCCAACTCGTCCTTTATTTTGTTTATTAGTGGAATATAATTAGCCTGGTACCTTTTTATTGAAGGAGTTAACTTTATTCCCAAATAACCTAATTCATTTTCCCTCCATGTAAATGGAAAATCCATTTGTAGAGTTTGCTTCTCTGTCTTCGAGAGACTGATATTCAATATCTCTGACGTTGAGGGGTTTATTTTCAGGTTTGATAGCTCTCCATGCTGTTTTAGTAGTGTCTTTATGTTATTCTAGGATTTACGATATCGAATAACATATCATCTGCATACGCTGCCACCTTATGTTCTACTTCACCTATCATTATTCCTGTTATATCCACAA